TTATTTTGAACTTAATTGGTTATGTTATATGCATTGCACCAGTGCTGGTCGTATATTGTGTTGTCATTTTATAGTTTAAATATTAAAATACGCTTTTGTAATTAAGTTTTGCGCAAAAAATCATCGGCAAAATAAATAAAACCTTCAATTAATCATGGTTTTAATTCAATTTATGAATTAAATTAATTTAAATTCAAATTTAAATTTTGAATTTTTTGAAAATTTTAAAATTTGTTATAGTTTTCTTACATTAAACAGGGAAATGGTTTAATTATCAATTTTAATTTTAATTAAGTTCCAAAACTACTAAAAATAGCATTATTTTGAACTTAATTGGTTATGTTATATGCATTGCACCAGTGCTGGTCGTATATTGTGTTGTCATTTTATAGTTTAAATATTAAAATACGCTTTTGTAATTAAGTTTTGCGCAAAAAATCATCGGCAAAATAAATATAACTTCAATTAATCATGGTTTTAATTCAATTTATGAATTAAATTAATTTAAATTCAAATTTAAATTTTGAATTTTTTGAAAATTTTAAAATTTGTTATAGTTTTCTTACATTAAACAGGGAAAATGGTTCAAATTATCAATTTTAATTTTAATTAAGTTCCAAAACTACTAAAAATAGCATTATTTTGAACTTAATTGGTTATGTTATATGCATTGCACCAGTGCTGGTCGTATATTGTGTTGTCATTTTATAGTTTAAATATTAAAATACGCTTTTGTAATTAAGTTTTGCGCAAAAAATCATCGGCAAAATAAATAAAACTTTCAATTAATCATGGTTTTAATTCAATTTAAGAATTAATATTGAATTTAAATTCAAATTTAAATTTTGAATTTTTTGAAAATTTTAAAATTTGTTATAGTTTTCTTACATTAAACAGGGAAAATGGTTTTAAATTATCAATTTTAATTTTAATTAAGTTCCAAAACTACTAAAAATAGCATTATTTTGAACTTAATTGGTTATGTTATATGCATTGCACCAGTGCTGGTCGTATATTGTGTTGTCATTTTATAGTTTAAATATTAAAATACGCTTTTGTAATTAAGTTTTGCGCAAAAAATCATCGGCAAAATAAATAAAACCTTCAATTAATCATGGTTTTAATTCAATTTATGAATTAAATTTAAATTTAAATTTTGAATTTTTTGAAAATTTTAAAATTTGTTATAGTTTTCTTACATTAAACAGGGAAAATGGTTTTAAATTATCAATTTTAATTTTAATTAAGTTCCAAAACTACTAAAAATAGCATTATTTTGAACTTAATTGGTTATGTTATATGCATTGCACCAGTGCTGGTCGTATATTGTGTTGTCATTTTATAGTTTAAATATTAAAATACGCTTTTGTAATTAAGTTTTGCGCAAAAAATCATCGGCAAAATAAATAAAACTTTCAATTAATCATGGTTTTAATTCAATTTAAGAATTAATTGAATTTAAATTCAAATTTAAATTTTGAATTTTTTGAAAATTTTAAAATTTGTTATAGTTTTCTTGCATTAAACAGGGAAAATGGTTTTAAATTATCAATTTTAATTTTAATTAAGTTCCAAAACTACTAAAAATAGCATTATTTTGAACTTAATTGGTTATGTTATATGCATTGCACCAGTGCTGGTCGTATATTGTGTTGTCATTTTATAGTTTAAATATTAAAATACGCTTTTGTAATTAAGTTTTGCGCAAAAAATCATCGGCAAAATAAATAAAACCTTCAATTAATCATGGTTTTAATTCAATTTATGAATTAAATTTAAATTTAAATTCAAATTTAAATTTTGAATTTTTTGAAAATTTTAAAATTTGTTATAGTTTTCTTACATTAAACAGGGAAATGGTTTAAATTATCAATTTTAATTTTAATTAAGTTCCAAAACTACTAAAAATAGCATTATTTTGAACTTAATTGGTTATGTTATATGCATTGCACCAGTGCTGGTCGTATATTGTGTTGTCATTTTATAGTTTAAATATTAAAATACGCTTTTGTAATTAAGTTTTGCGCAAAAAATCATCGGCAAAATAAATAAAACTTTCAATTAATCATGGTTTTAATTCAATTTAAGAATTCATATACAATTTAAATTCAAATTTAAATTTTGAATTTTTTGAAAATTTTAAAATTTGTTACAGTTTTCTTGCATTAAACAGGGAAAATGGTTTAAATTATCAATTTTAATTTTAATTAAGTTCCAAAACTACTAAAAATAGCATTATTTTGAACTTAATTGGTTATGTTATATGCATTGCACCAGTGCTGGTCGTATATTGTGTTGTCATTTTATAGTTTAAATATTAAAATACGCTTTTGTAATTAAGTTTTGCGCAAAAAATCATCGGCAAAATAAATAAAACCTTCAATTAATCATGGTTTTAATTCAATTTATGAATTAATATTGAATTTAAATTCAAATTTAAATTTTGAATTTTTTGAAAATTTTAAAATTTGTTATAGTTTTCTTACATTAAACAGGGAAAATGGTTTAAATTATCAATTTTAATTTTAATTAAGTTCCAAAACTACTAAAAATAGCATTATTTTGAACTTAATTGGTTATGTTATATGCATTGCACCAGTGCTGGTCGTATATTGTGTTGTCATTTTATAGTTTAAATATTAAAATACGCTTTTGTAATTAAGTTTTGCGCAAAAAATCATCGGCAAAATAAATAAAACCTTCAATTAATCATGGTTTTAATTCAATTTAAGAATTAATATTGAATTTAAATTCAAATTTAAATTTTGAATTTTTTGAAAATTTTAAAATTTGTTATAGTTTTCTTATATTAAACAAGGAAATTGGTTCTAATTTATCAATTTTAATTTTAATTAAGTTCCAAAACTACTAAAAATAGCATTATTTTGAACTTAATTGGTTATGTTATATGCATTGCACCAGTGCTGGTCGTGTATTGTGTTGTCATTTTATAGTTTAAATATTAAAATACGCTTTTGTAATTAAGTTTTGCGCAAAAAATCATCGGCAAAATAAATAAAACCTTCAATTAATCATGGTTTTAATTCAATTTATGAATTAAATTGAATTTAAATTCAAATTTAAATTTTGAATTTTTTGAAAATTTTAAAATTTGTTATAGTTTTCTTACATTAAACAGGGAAAATGGTTTCTAAATTATCAATTTTAATTTTAATTAAGTTCCAAAACTACTAAAAATAGCATTATTTTGAACTTAATTGGTTATGTTATATGCATTGCACCAGTGCTGGTCGTATATTGTGTTGTCATTTTATAGTTTAAATATTAAAATACGCTTTTGTAATTAAGTTTTGCGCAAAAAATCATCGGCAAAATAAATAAAACCTTCAATTAATCATGGTTTTAATTCAATTTATGAATTAAATTAATTTAAATTCAAATTTAAATTTTGAATTTTTTGAAAATTTTAAAATTTGTTATAGTTTTCTTACATTAAACAGGGAAAATGGTTTTAAATTATCAATTTTAATTTTAATTAAGTTCCAAAACTACTAAAAATAGCATTATTTTGAACTTAATTGGTTATGTTATATGCATTGCACCAGTGCTGGTCGTATATTGTGTTTTCATTTTATAGTTTAAATATTAAAATACGCTTTTGTAATTAAGTTTTGCGCAAAAAATCATCGGCAAAATAAATAAAACCTTCAATTAATCATGGTTTTAATTCAATTTATGAATTAAATTTAAATTTAAATTCAAATTTAAATTTTGAATTTTTTGAAAATTTTAAAATTTGTTATAGTTTTCTTATATTAAACAAGGAAATTGGTTCTAATTTATCAATTTTAATTTTAATTAAGTTCCAAAACTACTAAAAATAGCATTATTTTGAACTTAATTGGTTATGTTATATGCATTGCACCAGTGCTGGTCGTGTATTGTGTTGTCATTTTATAGTTTAAATATTAAAATACGCTTTTGTAATTAAGTTTTGCGCAAAAATCATCGGCAAAATAAATAAAACTTTCAATTAATCATGGTTTTAATTCAATTTAAGAATTTATATTAAATTTAATTCAAATTTAAATTTTGAATTTTTTAAAAATTTTAAAATTTGTTATAGTTTTCTTATATTAAACAAGGAAATTGGTTCTAATTATCAATTTTAATTTTAATTAAGTTCCAAAACTACTAAAAATAGCAATATTTTGAACTTAATTGATTATTTATATGCATTGTTTAAACATTGGAAAAGCTAATCAGTAAACCTTTCCACTTGCTATGCTTTTCATATTGCTTAACCCGTACAAAAGGGGTTAGTCGATAGAAAAGATATTAGCTCTATCTATACTGAGACAGTTGAGTGTTGGTCAGAGAGAAGAGAAGAAACAGTAAGGATTTAAAAAAAAATAAGATTTAGCAAGAGAAGTTAATAGAACTAGGAAAGACAAAAATATCTACATTATGGTGGATAACCTTGATATTCTATCATAATTGTATTGTTAATTATAAAGCATACAGAGATGGGCGTGTTCTCATTGATTCTGTCAGTAGGGATAAGAGTAATGTTAACATAATACTTGGGTAAAATTTTGATCTAAGATGAGATCTCTTTTTTTGTACTTATCAATACAACGATAAAATTTTTTTTCCTGTATATATATATATATAGTATACATATAACTTTTACATTCTACAAGAATAAAGTTGGGCAGTAGCAATCCCATGATCATGCCCTTCTCTTTTGTGATTTTATTTGCACATATTCTCCTTTTCATTCTTATTATTTTTCTTGTACAATTTGGCTTGATTCAAAGGATCTCCCATTTTTTTTTTTTTTTTTTTTTTTTTTTTTTTTTTTAATGTCTTTATTGCGAACTAATAAGTATTTTTTTCAATATCTTTATTGCGAACTAATAAGTATTTTTTTTAATATCTTTATTGCAAACTAATAAGTACTTTTTTTTTAATGACTTTATATTTTCCAGTTGAACAAAGGAATCAAAAATCTTTAGTTAGAAGCGATAATGGAAAAAATGGTGGAGGAAAAAAACAGATTTGAGATGTTGTTTACGAGTACAAAATCAAAGCTTAATGGTTTGCGAGAAGTGATAACAACTCAGTTTTCTGAAAACAACAATTGTTTCTCAAGTTTAATGCAGGTAAATCTTATCTAAAGTCTTGTATAAGTTTTGTTAATCTAGAATTTCTAAAACAAATGGACAGATAAGCCTATATTTTGTGACAGAGTTTATCAAAAACAAAGTCTGAAGAAAATCAAAACTGTGCCTTCCTGTTAAAAATGCTACGTTATGTAAAAAATCTTCAGGAAGTAAATTTGAATGTTGAATATCGTTTTATTTACAATAGTACATTCATCATCATATTGTCTATAGATCGGATTTCAGAAATTGAATGAGAAATGGTCAAAGGGTTTGGATGAAATGCAAAAAATGGCGAGTAAAATGAAAATAATGCATGAGTATACAGAGAAAAATTTTAAAAGCTTGAGCGTATTATTGGATTGCTTGCATGGCCGAGAAATTAAACAGTTGGAAAATAATGAAAGAGAAGGAGATACTTTCAAGAAAATATGTGATTTTCATATCGAATTCATTTTCATATCGAATCTGTTTAATATTATATAATTTTTTGTAATAAGAAAAAATTGTGTTTTTACTGCTACATCGTTATAATACATCCAAATGAAATTGAATGTAAAAAAGATTTCCTCAAATAGTCACTATTTTTTGATTTCATGGTGATACACAAATGGTCACATTTTCGAATTGTAACCTAAATTGTAACCTTTTCAAAATGTAACCTTAACAGTAAATATTTCTTGCAGCCGCACTTGCACTTGCAGTTGCAGTTGCATTGCAAGTACAATTGCATACCTGCTTGCACATACAAATATTTTAATTTAATTGATCCAATGATTGCTAATATCACTTGTCATATTATCATTTGATCAGCATTTCAAAATGATAATTGCATAAGATTTATTGTTAACAATAAATTAGTAAAACTATGTTACCAGCATGGTGAAAGATCACGTTTGATGATGAGAAAAAGATCAGATATGTCCAAGAAAAAATTTTGTTAATGAATTTTTTGAGTTTATCACCAGTCCAAAAATGTTATGAGTTTATTACCACGTCACTCTTTAATTAATTCCATTGCTTTAATAAGAAAAAAGTGATCAACTGGGAAATTTGAACAATTTGCAGCACATAAATGATAAGTAGAATTAGTTTTTATGTTAAAATGAAATTGCAAATAATGAAGTTTTTTTTTTTTTTTTTTTGTATATTTTTATGCAAAAAATAAATTAATAAAAATTGTTGCATGGAAAAAGATTGTGGCCAAGCAGAAGGTGAAAGTAATCTGACATCTGTTCTATTTTAATTTTGTGACTTTATTGATATATTAAAACGTTTTCAAAAAAATTCTTGTCTTATTAATAAAAATTGATATTAATTCAAAGATTTGGGAAACTTTTATTTTATGAATTAATTTCTTATAAAAAAGAAAAAAAAACAAACAACAACAATAACTTCAGATGGGTCAAAAACAAACTATTGGGAAAGGAAGAGGAAAAGAAGAAAGTTAACCATTGAAGATTATTCTCCAACTTTCCTATTACGGAGAACTTTACAAGAGATCAATTTTTTCTATTGTTTTTTCAAAAAAAAATTAAATCGGCCAACAAAACTCATTTTTCCAAAATGAAGTTATTTTTTTTACCTAAATTTTACACCATTTTATTTTGTTACTAAAGCCGATTTTGAAGTAATACACTATTCAAAATGTTGTAGGTGCATACCTCAACAATCTGAAAAAATTTCGTAGGTGAAATTTCACATTCTGCTCGGTCAGTCAGCTCTATGAGTAATTGATACATTTTTTTAAACTTTTTCTAATTGATACATCTAGAAAATTTGATCATAGTTGTTATCCATGCAAAATTTCAGGATATGAAAATTTAATAAGTGAAAAAGTAAAGCAAATATTTCATAAATAAATTAGAACGTTCCCGCGGGTAACAATTCGAAAATGTGATCATTTGTGCATCACCATAAAATTAAATTTCTATAAAAATAATGACTATTTGAGGAAATTTTTTTTACATTCAATTTCATTTGGATGTATTATAACGATGTAGCAGTAAAATCACAACTTTTTCTGACAAAAAATTATATAATATTAAACAGATTCGATATGAAAATGGAAGAAAGTATGTAGCAAAGGAAAAAATAAAAAGAAAATGAAACGAAGATTGCTAAGAATAAAACATGGAATTGTTGAATCGAAATTATGCTAAAGTGAATAATGCAAATATATCATTTTGAATAAATAACAGAGAAACTGCTTCATGCACTTTTAAATGAAGCGATGTGCGACACGTAAAGTGACGTAAAATATAATCTAATTCAAAACATCCATGTGAATCAATCAATCAACATATGTCAAATAAATTTGTGTTTATGGTAATATAAACTCTGGCCAAAATTATTAAACAATTCCTGAAACTTGTTCCTGAAATTTCCTAAAAAGACAAAGGAAGATCTGATCAAAAGGAAGACAAAACGATAAATCAAGTACCAAAGTAATATTCTCATTAATATTCTCAATATGAAACTATCTAGCCATTAGATATATCGCACCTTCAGCATAAGAAAGCTATGTCAGCGAAAATTATTAGAAAATAAAATTAGAATAATTCCGACCATTTTTAATATTCGGAAATCTTCAATTAGTATCTATGTGCGCACTTTCTGGAAATCCTATACTACAAACAAAATGACACTGCCGGAATATGGAAAAATAGGAAGAGATATGACCAATGAGCACTATATTCGGAATAAATTCATATAAACATGAAAGCAAAGTATCTAACAGAAAAAAAAAAAAAAAAACAATTATAAATGAACACGAACATAAAAAAAAAAAAAATCGAAATCAAAATGCATAAATTAGCATTTACAATATTTTCTGAATAAAAAAAAGAAAAAATTTCCACCAATAAGAGCAATGATAGTATCATTTTGTTTTTTATAATATAAAGCAGTAAACAGCAAATTTTATCCTAAAAAAATCGCCGAAAAGAAAAAAAAAAAAAAAAAAACAATTATAAGTCATCGTCTGTAATCTCAAATCTTGCTCATTCTTGAACAGCAATGCTTTCTGAAACAAATTCATAGACATAATGATATATGAATACTAATCTTAATTCTTCCTCCCCCTCAAATTCACTTTAGCCTATTACAAAAGCCCATATTATTTTGAACCTAATTGACTATGTTACGTGCATTGTACCAGTGCTGGTCGTATATTGCGTTGTCATTTTATAGTTCAAATATTAAAATACGCTTTGTAATTAAGTTTTCCGCGTAAATTCATCAGCAAAATTAATAAAACTTTCAATTAATCATGATTTTAATTCAATTTAAGAATTTAAATTAAATTTAAATTCAAATATAAATTTTGAATTTTTTAAAAATTTTAAAATTTGTTATAGTTTTCTTACATTAGACAAGGAAATTGGTTTTAATTTATCAATTTCAATTTTAATTAAGTGCCAAAACTACTAAAAAAGGCTTATTTTGAACCTAATTGACCATGTTACGTGCATTGTACCAGTGCTGGTCGTATATTGCGTTGTTATTTTATAGTTTAAACATTAAAATACGCTTTTGTAATTAAGTTTTGCGCATAAATTTATCAGCAAAATTAATAAAACTTTCAATTAATCATGATTTTAATTCAATTTAAGAATTTAAATTAAATTTAAATTCAAATTTAAATTTTGAATTTTTTAAAAATTTTAAAATTTGTTATAGTTTTAGTACATTAGACAAGGAAATTGGTTCCAATTTATCAATTTCAATTTTAATTAAGTGCCAAAACTGCTAAAAAAAGCTTATTTTGAACCTAATTTACTATGTTATGTGCATTGTACCAGTGCTGGTCGTATATTGCGTTGTTATTTTATAGTTTAAATATTAAAATACACTTTTGTAATTAAGTTTTGCGCATAAATTCATCAGCAAAATTAATAAAACTTTCAATTAATCATGATTTTAATTCAATTTAAGAATTTAAATTAAATTTAAATTCAAATTTAAATTTTGAATTTTTTAAAAATTTTAAAATTTGATATAGTTTTCTTACATTAAAAAAGGAAATTGGTTCTAATTTATCAATTTTAATTCTAGTTAAGTGCCAAAACTGCTAAAAAAAGCTTATTTTGAACCTAATTTACTATGTTATGTGCATTGTACCAGTGCTGGCCGTATATTGCGTTGCTATTTTATAGTTTAAATATTAAAATACGCTTTTGTAATTAAGTTTTGCGCATAAATTCATCAGCAAAATTAATAAAACTTTCAATTAATCATGATTTTAATTCAATTTAAGAATTTAAATTAAATTTAAATTCATATTTAAATTTTGAATTTTTTAAAAATTTTAAAATTTGTTATAGTTTTCTTACATTTGACAAGGAAATTGGTTCTAATTTATCAATTTTAATTCTAGTTAAGTGCCAAAACTACTAAAAAAAGCTTATTTTGAAATTAATTGACTATGTTACGTGCATTGTACCAGTGCTGGTCGTATATTGCGTTGTTATTATATAGTTTAAATTTTAAAATACGCTTTTGTAATTAAGTTTTGCGCCTAAATTCATCAGCAAAATTAATAAAACTTTCTATTAATCATGATTTTAATCCAATTTAAGAATTTAAATTAAATTTAAATTCAAATTTAAATTTTGAATTTTTTAAAAATTTTAAAATTTGTTATAGTTTTCTTACATTAGACAAGGAAATTGGTTCCAATTTATCAATTTTAACTCTAGTTAAGTGCCAAAACTACTAAAAAAAGCTTATTTTGAAATTAATTGACTGTGTTGCGTGCATTGTACCAGTGCTGGTCGTATATTGCGTTGTCATTTTATAGTTTAAATATTAAAATACGCTTTGTAATTAAGTTTTGCGCATTAATTTATCAGCAAAATTAATAAAACTTTCAATTAATCATGATTTTAATTCAATTTAAGAATTTAAATTAAATTTAAATTCAAATTTAAATTTTGAATTTTTTAAAAATTTTAAAATTTGTTATAGTTTTCTTATATTAGACAAGGAAATTGGTTCTAATTTATCAATTTTAATTCTAATTAAGTGCCAAAACTACTAAAAATAGCAATATTTTGAATTTAATTAGTTATGTAATATGCATTGTACCAGTGGGTCATTTTATAGTTTAAATATTAAAATACGGTTTTGAAATTAAGTTTTGCGCAAAAATTCATCAGCAAAATTAATAAAACTTTCAATTAATCATGGTTTTAATTCAATTGAAGAATTAAAATTAAATTTTATTTCAAAATTTAAAATTTGTTGTAGTTTTCCTACATTAAACATGGAAATTGGTTCTAAATTAATAATTTTAATTTTAATTAAGTGCCAAAACTATTAAAAATAGCAATATTTTGAACTTAATTGACTATGTTATATGCAATGTACCAGAGCTGGTCATATATTGTGCGGTCATTTTGTAGTTTAAATATTAAAATAAGCTTTTGTAATTAGGTTTTACACAAAAATTCATCAGCGAAAGTAATAAAACTTTCAATCTATTGGTTAATTCATTAATAAAATCCGTGTTACTGTTTAATATGGCTGAGAACAAGTGGGGTTGGTTAGTTAATGCATAGCTCAGCCGGTAGAGCAGCTCGCGTTTAATCAGTAGGTTGAGTGTTCGATCCTGGTCGCCAGGACCACACTACTAAATTGTAAGGAATAATTATGGTGTGGAAGAGGAGATATTAGTTCACTAGTTTGAGAGGGGGAAGTCCATCACTAAAAAAAAAAAATGCGATCATTGGCAGAAAACAAAAGAGAATTATTGGTCGT